GCTGGTGCTTTCATGGGGCTTTGAGAAACCTGGGCTGGTGGGAGGGTCCCAGCCCAGGGCAGGGGGGCTGGAACCAGATGATCTTTAAGGTCCCTTCCAATCAAAGCTATTCTGTGATCTTCTAGGTGGAGTTAAGGTAACTGAGAGCCCCATCTCCCCTCTTGCAGAGATGGCAGAGGGGACAGAGAAGAGAAGGCTCTGAGAGGACCTTATTGTGGCCTTCCAGTATCTTAGGGGGGCTACAGGAAAGCTGGGGAGGGACTTTTTAGGATATTGAGTAACAACAGGACTAGGGGGAATGGGGCAAAGCTGGCAGTGGGCAGATTCAGGCTGGATGTGAGGAAGCAGTTCTTCCCCAGGAGAGTGGTGAGACCCTGGGATGGGTTGCCCAGGGAGGGGGTTGAGGCCCCATCCCTGGGGGTCTTTAAGGCCAGGCTGGAGGAGGCTCTGGGCAGCCTGATCTAGTGGGAGGTGTCCCTGCTCATGGCAGAGGGGTTGGAACTGGGGGATCCTTGTGGTCCCTTCCAACCCTGACAGATTCTGATCTGTGTTAGCAGAGGACTTTAGAGCCCTAATGGCTCAAGGGTTGGACTGGATGATCTTGGAGGTCCCTTCCCACCTAAAGGATTCTCTGACCCCACGGCGCTGGGCCGCAGGCGTGGTGGAAGTGGCACCTTTTGATGGGGGGTGGATCTTTTTTGTGTCAGTCCCATCTACCTGGGCATCAGGGGATCACCAGGCAGCAGCAGGAGTGCCCCCACCTCTGTTGCCCCAGAGCAGGCCCTGAGTGGGCCGGGCTCTGCCCCGGGCTGCTCGCGGAGTTTCGCTCCTGCTTGTGCAAGCCTCTGGGAAGCACCAGCTCCACGGGTGTCAGCCGTGGTGCAACCTGCCCCTGCTTGGCCCTCAGAGCCCCGAGGAAGGTTGCTGAGCTGCTGATGATAGTCCCAAACACGGGGCTGTGTGGTGCTGGTTGCCATTAGGGAGGGGAGGCCCAGAGTCCTGGCAGGGCTCGGCGCCGCCTCGTGAAAAACCAGTTGGGTTCCCTCCTAACTCATGGGTGTAGTGGTTTTACACCCTGCGACTCATCGTGGCCCTTCTCAGGCTCTGCTGAGGCTTTTCTGGCCCCTTGGCACATGCCCAAGGCATCCATGGGTTAGTCACCTCCCTGCCAGCCTCAGGGCCAAGGAGAGGAGGGTGGTGGTACAGGAGAAACGGTCGCCGAAGAAGCCAGGGAATGGTGGGATCAGGGAAGGGTTTGGTTGGGTTTTCTAGGCATGAAAAAGGAGCCAGTACCTCTCCAGAGCACTGAGCAACGTTGGAACGCTGGCTGATGTGGGGGAGGTTATGAAACTGGATCTCAGGAAGAAAGTTTTGGTGCTGAGGGTGGTGCCCCATCCCTGGCACCATCCCAGGGGAGGTTGGATGGAGCTCTGAGCACCCTGCTCTAGCTACAGATGTCCCTGCTCCCTGCAGGGGGTTGGACCAGGTGAGCTTTCAAGGTCCCTTCAATCCAAACCATCCTGTGAGGCTGAGAGAGCTGAGAGCAGAAGGATCTGCCCTGGCAGGAGGAGCCCACAGCAGAGGTGTCACT